AAATCTAGAAAAACAATCTCCATACACCCAAAACGCTTATCAAGGAATTCCATACATCAAGTGTATGGAGACACGCTTGTCATACACATTTTGTACAGTTTCGAAAACAGTTGAAAAATTATAAAACTAATTTCTGTGGCTGTTTGATTCTAATAAAAAAGAATCAAAAAGAAATGGCGATAAAAAAATGCTTATCATACAATTTCCATATATGCAAATTGTATGATTAACATCTTTTTGATGGCGCGAAATTTTTTTCAACCGCAAATCGAACTTTGTGTTCAAACAAACCTTTTCGAAAAAAAATTTTGCATGCAAAATTTATTTTTTTTATGTGCACAACGTAGTCTTGGATACACTTGGATTTTTTCCTTTTCGCTTAACAACTTTTTTCAAAGATGCAGAAAATTCTTATTTTTTTAAGGCATGTTTATGCATGCCTTTATCAAGGTCTGATATTCTAAAAAATCAACGTTGAAAAATAATCATCCTTGAAAAATTTTGCCAAATTTTAAAAGTTTGTTACTTTCGTTATATGATTTGCAAAAGACAGCTCAAAGACAATTCAGGTCGTTTTCTATGCATTGTAAATGCCAAAAGATCCAACCTTTGGTGCTCTGAGTAAAACAAATTTGTTTTCACTTGCGTTTGGTCAGGGACACAACCCAAAATTTTGCAGCAACTAAATTTATTTTAAAGAATCTACCTTTTGGTATATGGAAAAATACTTATCCAACAGTTTTCATATATGGAAAAACGTTTGTCATCGAAATTTCATACAATTTTTTTCGTACGTATGGAATTGTATGGTAAGAAGTTTTTCATATATGGAAATTGCATGATAAGAATTTTTGGTCAATCCTGGTAATTACACCATAAAAAAAACTCAAAATGTAATCACACGTTGGCCGTGGCAACCAAAGCGTTTAAAAACGAATAGGATTTGAGCGGAACAAACAGATACAGGAGGAAGACGTCACAATCAACGACGATAACTAGCAGAGATGCAGGGCACCAGATGGAACCTGAAGGAACCAAATAGAGTTGATAGACGATTGCACCTCAGTACCAGCTCAATTACGACCGGCAGCCATGAAGCCAATTCACAGGAAGCATACATGACAAGAAACAAAATGGGACATTCTTTTGCTAGCTAAAATGAGTGCTGTAACTGAGTTCAATCAAATTTTACCAACTGAAAATGAAGCATTCTGAAGAAACTTCGAGATTTTTAAACCGAGTAAAACAAAAACAGAAAAAGTAAGAGGAGAGTTCACGTTTGGAGCTTGTCGAAAAATAAACAAATTGAATGATTTTGTGGATTTCACTAGATTGTTGGGTTTGAAAAACTGAACTTTGAGGACGATGTGCACTACGTCCATCAGAAGCTAAAATCAGAAGCTAACATCAGAAGCTAACATTCAGAAGCTAACATCTGCAGCTGGCCAATTTTATGTGATTACATTGGCTGCAGAAACTCGAGAAAAAAATTATAGAGAAATCACTGGGAGCATTCCCATCAGCAAAAACTGTAAACTCTAATCAAGAACAACAACAACAACACTAACAAAAACAACAACAACAACAACAACAACAACAACAACAACAACAACAACAACAACAACAACAACAACAACAACAACAGCAACAACAACAACAACAACAACAACAACAACAACCACAACAACAACAACAACAACACGATCACCACACCACCAACACCACAAACAACACCAACAACACCAACAACACCAACAACAACAACAACAACAACAACAACAACAACAACAACAACAACAACAACAACAACAACAACAACAACAACAACAAAAACAACAACAACAACAACAACAACAACAACAACAACGCCATGGTCAATGCCACGGCACAGCTCGAAGGCCCGGTCGAGGTCGGAAGAAAGTGGAACAGTAGTGTTTTTGTCTATCAGGGGCATGGTGCCAGCTTATGACCCCTGTGAGCTTATCTTAGCTGGCGTCGTGGAGACCCAGGCCCGGTTTGCGACTGCTTTCGCCGGACTTTGAGGTCGGGCATCACCCCCTTTGCATGCCACGTACAGGGGTGTAGTGCGGTCTGCTACAAACAAGTCAGTTGCAGTGGGCTGAGAAGAGGCAGCACAGACTCTTGGAGCTGTCTTGCCCACGAAGAAGAAGAAGCCGCCCAGAGCCGAAAGACGCAGGGAAGACAGGAGCCCAGTATTGCACCAGTATGTGCCACAAGAAGACCTCCTGCAGCGGCATCAGTAAGTACTCGAGCGACAAGTGGCGCTGCAACGCGCACAGGAAGGAAGCAACAAGAGAGACGGATCACACCGAGACGCTGGCGGGCAGACCGGTGGAGATGCTGACCCAGAGAGAGGCAGACAGCACGCGCGTGAAGAGGTCATGTAGTCAGTGCAAGAGGATCATTGCCTCGATCACAGTACCAGTGACGTGTTCAGAGTGCAATACCAGTTGCCATAAAGGGTGCGTCGCCAGACTTGGGTTCAGCAGAGACCAAGTAGACTTCTTTGTGGAACCCCCTGTTGAGTCGTCGCAGTAGAAAGGAGCTCACAGCCGGCCCAAGATCAGGATCTTCCAGTGGAATGCGGACGGGGTGAACACGAAGACGACGGAGCTTGCAGCCAGGTTACGGGAACTGGACATCGATATTGGGCTTGTCCAAGAGTCCAAGCTGACCAAGAAGAACCAGACCCCGAGGATTCCGGGCTACTCATGCATCAGGAACGATAGAGCAGATGGCAGAAACGGAGGACGTCTTTTGTCTTACATCAAACAAGACTGCAATAGGAGACGAGAGAGAACTGGAACCAACAGAGAGGAAATGTGGAGTCCAGTTCCTTCCGCGTGAGAGTGAGCAAGCGGAAATGGATGACTTTCTTCAACGTCTTTGTCCCCCAACAGAGACACAGGAGACGTGGAAGTTCTGGTCCTTAGCCAGCTGCCGACTGAGAACAGCTGTTTCTTAGCCGGAGACTTCAACGGGCATTCAGCACTCTGGGACACTGTACAGCCGATTGACAGCCGTGGAGAACGAATTGAAGAGTGGATAGCGGACAACAATCTCATCTGCAGCAACGATGGGACGAGCACGTGCACCAACAGAGCTCCCCGGACCTTTTTCTGGCGCCTTCCTCGATGGCCTGCAGAATGTACTGGAACGTGGGTGACGACATGGGATCGGACCACCTGCCGATCACGATCGAGTTGGAGTGTGAGGTCAACGTCACGAAACCGAGAGCAGTGCGTCCACGGTGGAAGAGCAAGGGAGTTGACTGAGCAGTTTTCAGCCGCGAGGTGGAGCGACGTGCGGAGGAGTTTTCGACCTCGGATAAGCTGTGCGTGAGAGTGAAGACATTCAACGAGATCCTTAGAAGTGTGTCAAGAGTCGCTGTCGGGAGGACAAAGCCACGGAAGACAAAGAGCACACCAATGACTCCGGGAATCAAGATGCTGGTGAAGAAAAGGAATATGCTCAGAAGAAACGTGAGAACGAGAAGAGAGGAGTGGCTAGAGGCATGCAAAAAGACTAAAGAGGCGTTCAAGGAAAGGAGGGGAGAGAAGTGGATCGAGTACTTTGACAAGCTGGTGCAGGATCATGACTACAGCAAGATTTGGAAAGTTGTAGGTCCGCTGAATGGCAGGCCAGACTCTACCCCAGCCAATGAGGCGATGCTGCACAATAGGAAAACCATCACCTCTAATATGAAGAAAGCGGACAACTTTATGAGCCACTACAGTAGTATCAGTCGCCTCAGCTTCAGCAGGGAGGAGAGAGACAAGAATCGCCTGTTGAAGAATGGCTGCGAGCGCCTACGGTAGACGAAGAAAGCACCGTCGACTTCAGCATGGCGGAACTCAAGAGAGCGATCAAGCACATGAAGACGAAGGGAGCAGCGGGTCTGGAGGACGACATCCCACCGACTTTTCTTAAGGCGTTGGGCCAGGAGGCGATGAGAGAGCTCTTGACTCTGTTCAACATGTCCTTCAACACGGGGAAGTGTCCTCAGGAGTGGCAGAACGCAGTCATTACCCCCCTATTGAAAGCCGACAATCCTAGTAGCAAAGTCGCCTCCTTCAGACCAGTCAGCCTGACATTCTGCATCGTCAAGACTCTGGAAGGTATGATTGCAGCTAGAATCAGCTACTTGGCAGAGACGAACGACTGGTTTAGCGACAGTCAAGCTGGGTTTCGCAGAGGTAGAAGCTGTGAAGATCAAGTGATCAGGATGTCGCAGTCCGTGAGCGACGGCTTTCAGAAGAAGAAGCCAGAAAGAACCGTCATGGCCCTGGTCGACTTCTCGCCGGCGTATGACAGAGTGTCAAGGCAGGACTTGTTGCTTGCCATGTTAGAGAAGGGCGTACCGCGGAAGTTCCTGCGCTGGATTGCTGGTTTCCTCCAAAACAGACAAGGCAGAGTTCGGTTTGCCAACTCCCTTAGCAGACACAGAACCATCAGACAAGGAGTGCCGCAGGGGTCTGGGCTGGCCCCACTCCTTTTTCTGTTCTATATCGACCCTCTCACCTCGGTCATCCCAGCAGAAGTCTTGTCGGCTCTTTTCGAAGACGACGTGTCGGTGTGGGCGACGGACCGATCCAAGGAAGAGGCGGGTGGGATAGTGCAGCAGCCGGTGGACAACATAGTGAAGTGGGTTAAGGAGAAGAAAATGCTCCTCAACACTGAAAAAGGCAAGACGGAGGTGACGTTCTTCGCAGCCGGTTCGTTGGTCTCCGAAGATAATCCTGTACGATGAGGAGATGAAGTTCAACGCGAATCCGAAGTTCTTGGGCGTCACCATGTACAGGACGTTGTCGTTCCAGCAGCATGTGGACGCAGTGGTGAAGAAGGTGGAAGCGAGATGCAAGGCGATTGATTGCGGTTCTAGGTGCGTCGGACTTTGGCTGGAAGACAGAGCAGCTCAGAAAGGTCTTCTTAGCCACGCAGAAAAGTGATCTGGATTACGCCGGCCCTGGTTGGCAGCCATGGGGCTCCTCCACACAGATGGACCGTCTCGACCGAGCCCAGAACAAGGCGCTGAGACGCGTAACTGCTCTGCAGTTGTAGTCACGACAGGTGACCCCCGCGAGCCAGAGGTGGTACAGGAGATCAAGATCAGAGGACGCACCCTAACCTCCTCTTACGAAGAAGAGCGAGAAGCCCTGCAGGAAGCAGCGAAGTGGATCGAGACGAATACGAGAGCAGTGGACAACAAGGTTATGATTTGCACAGACAGTCAATCTCTAGTTGAGGCCATTTCGAACAGCTCCAAGGACACCGAGAACATCAGGTCCTCCCTTAACCGTGCTGGAGCGTACACGATCATCCAATGGGTACCCCGACACGTCTCCATACCCGGCAACGAAATGGCAGATAAATTGGCAAACGAGGCGGCCAATTCCAGAGAAGAAGAACCGAAAATGGTCTCACTGAGTCGCGCCGAATCCTGCATCAAGAGGACCATGAAAGACGGAGACCCCTCTCATCACAGGATAGCGGCCGTGTATTCCAACCATTCCAGAGCGAGAGACAAGAAGGCTATCAAAACGAGGAAGGACGCTGTTCTGCTAGCAAGACTACGGTCAGGCCACTGCATGGCTTCTCAACGTACAAGAACCTGATGGACCCGACGATAGACACGTCATGTAGACGATGCAACAAAGATAGAGACACTGTTGAACACTGGCTAGACTGCCCTGGCAACGCAGCTACTACACAGGAGTTCGTTCAACACCGACCTTGACTTTCTTGTCCGATACCCGACCGAGACGTTAATATGGCAGCGAGGACATTGCCAAAAAGCATGCCCCATGACGTATATCAATTTCAACAACAACAACAACAACAACAACAACAACAACAACAACAACAACAACAACAACAACAAAAACAACAACAACAACAACAACAACAACAACAACAACAACAACAACAACAACAACAACAGCAGCAGCAGCAGCAGCAGCAGCAGCAGCAACAGCAACAACAACAGCAACAACAACAACAACAACAACAACAACAACAACAACAACAACAACAACAACAACAACAACAACAACAACAACTACAACAACAACATGTTTCGAATGCCAAGCATTTCAGACGCGAGTGGACGAGTCACGACGGAAAATCAAATAAAATCAAGAACTCAAAAAAGAATTGAAAACCCAATAAGACACTCTGAGAAAGATATGAATACCACTGAAGAGCAATCAGAGACTGCTCTAGACCAAGTTACCAAACAGATTGACACATCCAGGGGGAAGATTCGACATAGGCTCAAAAGAGTTGCGGCTCAAAAGACAATTTTCAAACGAAGTTTTGGAGACAAAGCATCCAAAAACATTATCGAGAAGATGGGCGATGACCCAAGCATGTTTGTGATATAATGCGAGTTAATGATGTTCCAATCTGGCTCTCATGTTTAGTTTTCAGTTTAATGGCAGTGTATTCACTTGAACTGGCGCGGCTTTTTTATCAGTCACCGCGTTCCAGTTTTCGTCATTGAGTGGTGTTTTGTGTTATTAGTGCTAAATGCGTGATGTTATAATGTGAGGTAGGAAGAAAAATCTTCACAAGAGTTAGGTCGCTTACGAAGTAAAATTTTGTTGCGTTAAAACGACGCAGAAACAAATAGGAACGGAAAACAGACGCTGCTTAGGATATGATATAGTCTAGAGTAGTGTTTATAACTTCAAAAAAACAGGACTGCATATGTATCAGGGCAAAGCCCTGAATGTTCCAACTACATCATTATCAGATCTATGGAAAAGTGTTCGATTTTAGAAAGTTAGTGATCTTTTTAAAAAAAATTAAAAACTTTTTTTCTGAAAACTATCCCCCACACGCTATTTAAAGTGCAAAGTAATATGCTTTGCCTATTGTGACGTTTTAAATAGACCAAATAGCTCGTCGTAATTCAATTAGGAGAGATTTATAATAGCTTACGCTTCAATAGCACAAAATTTGTCGCGCGAAAGATAGAAAAATATCTGTCAAAATTTGCCGGTTAAAAAGTCGAAAACTGTCTGGAGAAAAAAACCATGCCGAGCAAAAATAATTCGGCGTTTTCTTCGACGCTGGTTGGAACAAACGTATTATTTGGATGCATTACTGTTTCGACTTTTGAAGAATGTGACGGAATGTTTGTGTGCTCGGGGTCGTTTTTTTCAGAAATTTTTTTTTTGAAAAATTTAATTATGGCCAGTTTATGTAAATGGGGTATATTTATGGCCAACTTGGGCTTAACACGCAATATATTTCGTTCTAATGAAGCGTAAGTGGAGTTTTAATCCGTTCTTGAAAATGTTTCAATTTTATGAGTTCAGGCATGATGTTTGGTCTATTTAAAAAACTGTTTTTTTTTCTGAAATATATCAGTTTGTATTTCAAATAAAGGCGTGGAGGATGAGTTTCAAAAAAATCAAAATTTTTTTTCCAATTTTAAAATTTTTTTTCCATTTTTGTAAAATGTTGGTTTTTTCTCACCACCCTCACCACCCTTGTAAAATTAAAAAATGACACTGTTTAAAATTTGCTCTCACGGCATTTCCATGAGAGAAATTTAAAAATTTGTTCACTTGTTCCCGCTGACACGTTTTGATGCAGTTTTTAACTTGAAAATTCATTTTAAATAGCATTACGAGGCCATACTGTGCACTAGATAGGCGCACAATTTTGTGTCCTTATGTTCCTGGATTCCAGAGACAAGTCTTTAAACAAGTTTCAAAATGTGAATGGATTCCACTTACAATATTCCACTTACGTAAGCTTTGTCGACACATTGAATTTGTTGCGGATTCCGTAACAAGCAAATATAGGTAGTTGTTCCGGATTCCGCAAATTCAAGCGGATTCCGCGAATGAAAGTAAATTCCACAAATTTATGCGGATTCCGCTTACAATTCACGGATTCTATGTACAGTTGCGGATTCCGCGACAGCTTAAGTTAACTAAACACATATATTGTGATTTGCTCATGGATTCCACGAACTGGTTCCGGATTCCACGCATTTTGTTGCGGATTCCGCAAAGTTGCCTGTTTTTGGAGCGATTTTGAGCAACACAGCTATTTGTCCGTAGAATCCAAAACAGCAGACAAGATCAGAGAAAAATAGCAACGTTGCGGATTCCGCGACTAATCTGATTTTTGCCTGTTGCGGAATCCGCTTACAGTTCTTAAACCGCACAGTTTGGCCTCGTAATGAGACTTTTTTTATTGAATTTTAAGAAAATCAAAGGGGGACTGGAAAAGAGCTTAATTGTTCATTATCAAACGTTTATCGGAGGACCTTCGATTGTGGTGAAAGTTTAAGTCCGAACAAATTAGGCATGTCAAATTAATTTGTATATTTGGTCTTCATAGTCAAAACTTTGTAAAACTGCTCGTTACAACACAAAACTGAGGCGTAAGTTAGGTGGTGCGATATGGAGAAACAATCCGATACGTTTAATTGGGGCGGCCGGAAGGGTATGCGAATTGTAGAATATGTGTGTGCCTTATGCCAATGTGCAGTGATCCGTCTGGGTTGTAGGAGACATTGATGCTCCTGTTCTCGACTAGTCCGTCCTCCCTCTCCACTGCAATACTGACACTCTTCTCACTCAAGTAGCCAGTAGAGGATGAGCCCCCCATACTCACCCCACTCCGACTCCTGCTCCTGCTAGCCCTACTCCCACCCCCACCCCCACTCCTGCCCATCAATGAAGACATCCTATTCTATGGAAAATGCCAAGAACAGCTTTCAGACAGGGTTGACGTCTCACAAGGTCGCCTGAAAAGTTGTGTTTAAAGTTGACAGATTGTTTTTTTTAATTAGTGTTGTCTGTTTCAACTTGTTGCAATCATCTATACATAATGCCACAAATTTTGACAATATTCCTTCAGTCAACGAATCTGAACGAAATTAAATTTACTAAAAACTTTTAAGAACCAACTGCTCATTTTGACGCCTGAAACAAATCGATTGCTCATTTCAGGTTATTACCCGGGTCGAAGTGCTCACAATGGCTCTTTTTCCTTTCCTCTCCACCTGCAGTTTTTTACAAGTTTGTTGATCATATTGTCCATTTAATATGAAAAATGGCATCCACGCTAATTAGGCTATGATAAAGATATCAAAACCAAATTTCATAACCAACCTCCTAAATAATAATAATAAAAACGATAAATTGTTTTCATATTAGAGACTATACGATAGATAATTGTCATATGTACATAATTCTCATATGCAAGGACATCAAAAGGCCCAATAGGCCTAGTCAGGTGATACTTTAATTAAAATTAAGCAATACATATTATTAGAAGTTCTAAGAAGTTTCAACTGTAAACTACTATCAGTTGACCAAACCCACATGCCCCTCTTTTAGAAAAACTATCTAACATTTCTTTATTATTTTTGAAGTATAAATAGCAAAAATTATGGAAAAAAGTGTTTACTTGACTATCATTAAGACTGCTGACTGTATCAGCAAAATCGTCAAAATTTTTTAAAATTAAATTGAACAGTTTTCTTATCCGTACACCTACTCTTTTAGGGCTTTTATCAAGCAATAACTTGTTGATTTGATGTTTTAACACTTTTATATTTCAATATCCCAATCTCCAAGTACAAAAAATGAGTTTTTTTTTAAAATTCAGTTTTTGGTTTCTTTAAAATATCTAACTGACTGATATCTCCGTTTTCTTAAGAACATTCTCAGAATTTGGTTTTGTTTAGTTTCAAAATTTTGTAGTGATGTTTTATTAGCTGCGTTGTACACTATAACCCCATTTTGCAGCATCGGCTAAATTTGACTGAAATAAAATTTAGTTAGTTGTGCTGTCGTTAGTACCTCACATAATGGGTAAAATTATTTGTTTTTTGACAAAACTCAATACGAAATTTAAAATCTGATTTTGCGTCCAAGTGAATGCCCAAATGTTTAGTAAAGAAGCACATTTTAACATCAATAATTTCTGATTTTATTATTTTTATTTCTATGATTATTTTCCTATTAAAAATCATGTTTATTGTTTCGTCTGGGTTCAGAGTTAGCTTATTGATTTTCAAGCAATTTTCAATTTTCGGTACATCCATTCTGTGGCTTTAAGTTTTTTTTTTTTTTGAGCTTCACTGCTGTAGCATCATAGTTTAAATGTGTTCATTGAGTTTTTAATTTGTGTGAAATTATTTATCAATAAAATAAACAGTAGTGGCCCGAGGAGTGATCGCTGTGGAAATCAACATTGATTTGTTTTCAATTTCGACATTTTGGAGCCTATTTTGACTTCTTTTGATCTTTTTTGTCATATCTGATTTTAACAATGCCTATATGAAACCCCGTAGTCCGCAGTTTGTAGATTTTTGCAGAAATTTTTCATGTGAAAGGATATCAAATGCTTGTTTGAGATCAATGAAATTCACAAGTCTTACATTAGGGTTCAATTCGCAATAACTTTGGATGTCTTCAATGAATATACAATTTAGGTCTGAACCCAAATTGGTTTTTAATCAAAAGACCATATTTATCTCAAAATCAAAAGTGCATTTATGGAGTAAATTTTTCGGAAAATTTTGCTGAAAAATCGCAAAATGAATATTGGCCTTCAGTTATCTGGATCTCTATTTGTTCTTTTTTTG